CACACACAGTGTACACACACACACACAGTGTACACACACACACACACAGAGTACACACACACACACACACACAGAGTACACACACACCCCTGCTGTGTCTTTGTCCAGACATTCAACAAAACTTGCCAAATTTTCCTTCTCAGCCCTCAGCAGAAAACCTGTCCCCTATCCCTCCATCTCCCTCGTCCCTTTGTAAAGTTAAACTCCCATGATGCTTAGCAAACGGGGACCTTTGAAGTCAGCTGGGAATGGGGGGAAGAGGGGGGGATTTCCTGACGTCTAGTTTTGTCCAGATCTCAGAGTCAAAGTGAACAGACGGCAGGTTTCTTGGCGGTGGGAGGGAGGGTTTTGGAAGGTGACGCCTCTCTGTTTTCTCAGCCAGGATTCCTGTCAGTTATGTAACGTTGAATCTGACTCATTCAGCCCCGACTGCAGCAAAATGATGCTGATGATCACACAACCACAAACCACTCTTTATTCACATAATACCTAGAGCAACACCGGTACTGATACTACAACTTATACGTACTGTTACAGCAATAGGTACATTTAAAGGTCCAGTGTGTAACACTTAGGAGGATCTATTGGCAGAAATGGATATTTATAGGTGCGTTTTTATTAATGTATAATCACCTGAAAATAAGAATTGTGTATGTAAGAAAAATATAAGATAATATCAGGCTGAACCTTCAAGTAGAAGTATCAGCACTGCCATGGAAAAATATTCTGTAACTTATCACCGGGTGGCATGTTGAGACTAATCTGTTTCCAGTGGATTTTACCAGCTTTAAATGTGTTGTTTTTCCGAAAATTACAGTCTGTTTGATGGAAGTATTTATTGAGTTTGATTCCTCTGTAGATTAACTGACTAACATGAGTCAGTCAGAGAAGGATGTGGTGGATCTGCTAGGTTGTCTGATTGGTTATTTTCTGATGTTTTATTCAGCAGAAAGACGATATCAGCTTATCGGAGGGCAGCACGGTGGACCTCAGGAAGCCTGGGGAGGAAGAGGATGAGTACTCAGAGATGGCTGAAGAGGCCATGGACCCCGACAACTGCTTCCCAGACTGTAAGCACACACACAGACAGAGTTAGTCAGTAACGTCTCAGTGGAGGATGGCTGAGGGAACGACTTTTACACAAACACATATTACGACGTTTTAGTAAAACATACTCAAACTTTTCAGTTTTGAAAGTATAATCTGGTGTTTGTGGTTTGGAGCCAGAAATGTGGTGCTGACATAATAAGTTGATTAATTAAACCTTACAGTTTGATAATCGTTTAATGCTTATTTATCAAGCAGAAATGTCAAACATACTTTTGAAAGCTTTACCCTGTAGTCTAGAAACTCATGATTTCTGCTATATTCTGGCATATACAGGCTTGGGGAATAATCAGGATACAAAAAAAGGTAACTGTAATCCATTGCATTACAGGTACTTTGATTAGGTTACAGACTACATTTTTAATTATCATTTAGGTATTTAGTAACTGTATCAGATTAAAGTTTTAAAGTAACCCTCCCAACCCTGCATGTACATTCACTTAAATATCAATTAATTCCTGAGCAATAGAGTTGAATTGAGTTTTCAGGTTGACATTTAATTCCCCAAACACAGAAATATAAGCTAGCTACTGTACGTCTACAGGGATGTGGAGAATTAGTTCATGTTCTGAAGCTGTAACCATTCAGTTACACATGTCTTCCACTAACCGAGAGCCCATCCCACCACCCGCTTGCCCTGATACTTTCATAATCAGATTTATGATTCTGTACCAACTAACCCAGGTGAAAAGCTTGTTTCCTTCCTGACTCAGCCCATTTCCCCCTGGAGCACACATATTTGTCTTAGACCCAGTTCAGCGCAGCTAGCATGACCGTGATACAGAGACAGAGGAGAGAAATAAAGGCTGGGGAAACACGGGAGTACCATTTGGCTAACGACAGCAAATGAAATCCCCGGAGAGCTGAGATACCCAATGACGTATGATCGTTAATTTGTGGTCGAAGAACTGCTAGTACAAGAGAACATTTATTTCTATGCAGATGACATACAGCTACACATTAACATATTACCCAATTATGTTAGACCTACTTACAAGGTTGTTTAGAGTTTGATCTGATCGACTGATCTAAAAACTGGGCAAATTGTCTGCAGTCGGCTTCTAGTCAGCTGCCTACATGGACACGTAGGAGACGTTTGCCTTCAGGGCTTTCTGCCAGAAACAAAACAAGAGACTAATTTACAAGATTGAGAAGCAGCACATTTTATATGATACACAGCACTGTTTCTAGTAGAATATCCTCAAAAAGAATGGGTTTTGGAAGGAAATCATGAAGCTGTTGGGAGTAACAAGTACAATAACTTTCCTCTAACTATATAGAAACCAGGCTGATAAAAGGTTGTTGCTGCGACATTGCTCGTTGTATATCTGGACAGTTTTTCGCTCTCCATCCAGAGTTCACTCGGTCACTGTTTGTGAGGCCAACTTTCACCTGAAGTGTTTGCAGTCTCTGCAACACCATCGCAAAACAAAGTTGCAACTTTTTATCAGATATATGCTCAGTTTCTGATGATAATATATTTTTTGTGAACGTTGTTTTTCATTGTTGTTTTTGTAGTGATTTTTTTTGTCCTTTCAGTAAAGGAAAAAGAGCAGGGTGGTGGTTCAGTTTGAAATTGTGCGTCACATAATAATTTCACTAACCTTAAGCCCATTCCACCACCCACTTGCCCCAATACTTTCATAACGAGATTTATGTTACTGACTAACCCAGGTGAAAAGCAAACACCTTGTTTCCTTCCTGACTCAGCCAGTTTCCTCCTGGAGCACAGACATTTGTCTTGCGCACAGCTAGCATGAACACTGTAGAGATACATAAGAGCAGGGAAGGAGAAAGTGAAGATAATATATATGTTTGTGTGTTATAGATTCTGTTTTGGGGGAAAAATGGCTGACTTCAAATTGTTCAAACTTTTAGTTCAGTTTTTTTTAAAATAGATATTGCCCATTTGACTTTCAGAGGTAACTTAAGGTAAAGCTCAGACAGAATTAGGCCAGCCAGCTGGAAAACCCTCTCCGAAGGACAAAAACAACAAAAAAGCATCCCCAGCACCTGCAGAGACTACATTAGTGAGACTCTAGGGTGGAAAATACACTATTTGCACCTGACAAATATTGACCAATTGACCAAACATCTCATACGGGATAGTTTGGGACAAATGCACATACCGTTGGACACATAGTTAATAACAATTTAATCAAAATACTTTGATAAAATTTCACCTGGATTTGATATCCCCCTGCATCTAAAGGTTGGTGTTTCTTGCTTCAATTAGACGTTGCTCACAGAAGTTAATAACTCAGACAATTCACACTTCAGCAGGGCAATGACAAAAAAGAGAACCAAATAATATATACAACACAACATACAACAGACAAACCAGTAAAATCAAAGAATCAAGCTTTATTTGTAGAACATCTTCCATACAGTTTAGTGCAGTTCAGAGTGCTTAATATGACAGAATGGAATAAAAACTACATAAGGTGAATTTAAGACTAAAATACAAAGACAAAAAAAAAAAAAAATACAATAAGAAGGATAAAACAGAAAATAAGAAGAATTGTTCATTATAATTAGGAAATGGGATGTATTGATGTTAATAAGAAACAGTGCGACATGTTAAAAACAATAAAAACAAAGCCACAATAAAGCAGGCATTGATGCAGGCTGTCTGGCATCGGAGAAAAAAACGTTTTTGTTTTATCGCCCGCCACTGCGTCCAGAGGCTTCCTGCTTCCTGTAAGAGGTGCTTTGGATGAAAGCACCTGCCAAACGGCAGATGTTGTATTAGCTTTGATTCATTTAGAAGATTGATGCGTCCATCGCAACTGTCCCAACACGCCGCCTGCTTCTTCCTGATTCAGCAGAGTCCTTCACAGCAGGCGGACGTTTGTCACCAGCTGGACTCAGATCAGCTGCTGGAGCACCGACAGAAGAGGGATGGAGCATGAACGAAAAACCACTTCTTACACTCCACAGTTTTGACATCAGCATGTCTGTATTGTAGGTGAGATACACAATGAGTTAGTGAAGAGGAGGAAAAGCAAACAATGTGACAAAGGAGGAGGCAAAAAGAAAGGACAAAACAAAGAAGGAACAAAAGGGAGAAGGAAAAGAAACTCAGAAGACTCACGCAGGAAGTGATACACAAACAGATTTTCTGTTAATAGATTTGTTCTTATTTTGTTTTATTTTGTACCAGTGTTTTCTTATTTTTGCTCTTCAGGTCAGAGAACATTGTACGAGTGGTTGAGAGCACTGTTACCAATAACCAATAACAAAACATCTAGTTTTCACAGTCCACAAATTGTTTGTCTAACACAAACAAACATGAATTTGAGGAACATAAAAGAGGCATGAATATCCTGTAATAAAATCAGTTTATATGTTTTACAGTAAATATAGTGATTGGATTATTACATGTCAAGCCTTTAGCTTCAGTATGAGACACACCGGGCTTCCAGGAAGCCTTTAAACACGCCTTTAACGCTGTCAGACGGTCGCAGGTTGGTTCGGTTTAGGAAAAGATCATGTTTAGGATATGATGCAAAAATAAGAAAAGAGCAGATAAGAATAGTTAGAAGAAGAAAATGAATAAAAAATATAAGGCTATTGAAAAAGAATACTGAAGAAGAGAAGACAGTGGATGATGACGGACTTTGACCTTGCTGGTATGAGCAGATTTTGGGGACAGAAGCAGAATTCGACCGCCTGCGTGCTGCTGGCTTCCCTCCAGACTCAGCTCACAGTCCCCTCACACTGGACCAGTACCACCAGTATGCTGACGCAGCACTCGGTTACTTCGTGTGTGTGTGTGGGAGCAGTGGGTCCTGCGAGTTGGCCAGCTGCTGCAGAAGTAGGCCAGAAAACTGAGGAACAACAGCCGGCAGACACCAGCTGTGTGTGTGTGTGTGTGTGTGTGTGAATACTAGCGGAGGCAGTTTGTGTTTGTGCAGACACAAAGTGACCATCTGGAAGTTGAACTGAAATTAATTCCACTACGAGGATGTTTGTGACTGACGTTTTCGTTGATAAAGCCAGTCTGCGTTGTTAAACATTGCCACGCTACCACCAATTAAACCAAGAGTTCCCCTGATGTGACGTCACCCATCGGTTTGTGGAGTACAACCATTTCAGCTTCTCCCGGTTAGGATTCCTTCAGTGTTCATGGTTCAGATTACGATGCAATAGTGTCGCATAGTTCATTTGAATCATAGCTGTTATTCTAAAACATAATTCGTGAAACAAACGTGATTACTGCTCTACCTGGCTTCAATCTTCCCAACTTTGGGGTTGGTCAAGTTCTGCTGGGGTCACAAATCCTCCCTAATTTTAAGGGGTGGAAGGAAATGTAAAAAATACACACGATAGCTTTTCTCAGAATTTAGGCTTTCATTTTGCAAAGAAATCTAAATGAAATTGTTATTTTTAAAGTTGGTTAGATCATTACTACAGATCTAAGACTTTAAGGGACCCAGAACTGGGAGAGTGCTCACCTCTCCGGAACCTTGTTCTGCTTTTAAAAAAGTTCAAACGTCAAAGAGCTACTGACAAGAAGTACTGCAATCTCTATCAAAAAGAAACCTCTTAAGTATCATAACAGCGTCAAAAAAATACATAAAAACAGCAAGAAAACTAATCCCTAATTGCTCGTTTTAGACACAACCTTCCTGCAGTTATTGTGTTCACTGTTTGTATCATTGTGCAGGTTAAATCAGCTTTCTCTACTGTTATTCTTACTCGGTTGGAAAATAATGTCTTAACAGATAGAAAAAGGGCTTAGCAAAATGTTGGTAACCGCTGCCCCTAGGGGTGTAATTAGATAATGCAGAAGAAACATGGGACAGAAAGCTGCGATCCAATATACGATATTCATTAAAATACATATAGAATAAACCCATAACGAGCAGAAAGAACAAAAAACTATATAGGTGGAAATATAGCACCTTTGTCATCAGAACACGTAACTCAATTACCCAGTCGTTTTTTGGACTCGTCCAAT